AGCACAGGATCGGGAACGTTGGAAGCACTGTCTGGCGCGTCTGCCTCCGTGACCCGAAAAGAAAAACGGCCATGGAAGATGAAGATGAAGAAGATGAAAAAGCAAAGACGATGATAATAGCATAATTTAAAAACTACAGTGAAAGGACACAAAGTATATCAGATACAAGCACAACAACACCGTAATGATTAAACGTTGCAAGAAACTCGACGATGCAGTACGTGCTTCTGATTGGATACAAACTAATTATAATAAAAAAGATATCCGGATATAAAGATGATATTAAGAACGGCCATATATATGTAAGAAAGTGTACATAGGACCAACAGAAAGCACCGTTAAATCAACAGAAACATCAACTAGTCAAGTTCAAAGAAAGAGATGATCAAAGGAGAACGCGAGCGGGACGTTTAAAAAGAACTACCCTGAACTGAAAATAAACTTTAGCTGAGTAAGTCAATTTCTGGCGATTTCAATATATAATAGAAAGCGCTCAAAAATCGTACAGCACGTGAAACCGAAAGGATGTGCCTTCTGATCAACAGGGTGACTTGGCATTATCAGCGAAGAGACTGGTCCCTACTGAAGAAAAAAATGCCAACGATGCACTGATCATTCAGTTAAAAGAAACAAAGTTGCAAATCCCGATTGGATTGAACTGCGTCCGTCTCGCTTGTTCACACTAAATCGTTCAGTAATAAATTCGACCGACAGCTCGCCAAACGGCCATCGGTGACTACATCAACACCAAACGAAATCTGTGCAATTTATCGGGAGTTAAGTCTGTCAGGTATGAACAAAATTTAGTAGTGGTCTGTAATCCGATAGACCACCATTTGTGTTGTGTTTGGTTAAACTGTACTTATTTCATGTTTCGCAAAGAATAAACAACAAAAAAGAGTACAACTAAAGAAATGGTCAAAGTGCGTACAAACTTAACTATTAATGGCCAGTACCTGAAAATTCAATGAAAATTCAAATTCAAAAATTCAAAACGATTCATTGAAAGTCTTCCTTACTGTGACGTTAGTAGTATCAACGCTTTGACGAAATTTTTCCCGCTGTTGTAGAATAAAACACTTTGAATAGTGTTTTATATTTCGAGCATAAAGAATTTTTTCCGACGTCAAGCTGTTGATATAAACGTTCAGTACCTGAAAAGAAAAGCTGAAAAACAAAAAACATTGGGTAAATGAAACCTCAACATATTCTTCAACAATTCGGCTGGTTTCCGGTGGCATTGGAACTACGATCTTCTCTATCTGACGTTCAAAAGTGTACGGCCGGATGTCGGGCGAATCTTCAACCCGGATTTCAAGATGGTGGATTAGCAAGTTTGCAATCACCTGTTGCACCGTCTGAGTAAGCAGAAAATGTCAAACGAACGTTGAGAACTGGAAAGCGCAATGTTTTACCTGAATGTCTGGTCCCGGAGTAGCACTGAGGGCCAGGACACGGAACTGCTTAGTATACTTAAGAAGATCACGTATGACCTGAAATCGACAGTTAGACATTTACTCTGCAACGCAAGAAACCCGAAGAACACCTTGACAGACTCACCTGACAATAGGAGTGGTTGCCGGTTGCCCTGTGGGCTTCGTCCACTACCACGCACTTGATCTGTTTAGCAGGACATGCAGAACGGGATAAATCATTAGCCATCACCTGCGGAGTCAGGAAAAAAATCCGTTTCATTGACCACTCGTCCCTTCGTTTAGCCGGCAGCTTACTCCCTTAGCGAATACAAGAATAAGGATAATGGCGTATTCTCTTTTAAGCAATGAACTAACCGGTCATCTCCGCAACATCCTCCTGCGGAATGCCCATAATACTAAAACATGCTTCGACCTGTTGAGCGACCAATGGCTTCGTTGGAGCCATGAATATGACTTTGCCATTGGGATACCACCTATTGTGAAAGAGGCATTAAAGCAGTATTTTATAATCCACTACATAATTATAGTTTTATACCTGAATTTTTAGCGCAGCCTATATGGTAGAAACTAGCATATACAGAACAATCAATTCCCATGTACGAACAACAAAATAGGGCAGCGGTAAAAGCACAATTTATTATCACAGCATAATAAAGGAAAACAGTGAACGACAAGTAGGCAGTTTTAACAGAATTTGAGGCGCAACAGGGAAAATACTGTCTTCAGTCGAACGTTCAATGAATCAGCTTTAAGCACAGGGGTCTTTACACCAGAACCGGGGTACTGGTTTGAATAGAAATGCACAGGTTACTAGTTCTCAGCAAAACATCCAATACGTTAGTAGCATTCAAACTGAGCTACCACAAACAGAATAGACAAAACAAGTGGAAAGGGAGGGAAGATAAAGAAAAGCGACGCAAAGATTCCGACAGAATGGTAACACCTGATTTCTGACGGCTCTGTGAGAACCCAGAAGTTATATTTGACAAGAATGATCCGTGGGTGGAAAGATGTTTGAGGGCTGAATTGCGGCTGAAGCAACGCGTGCGGAATTGTTGAGAATATCCCTTCGAGCTG